ACCTGACGATATCAGAATTTTTCCCACGGGAAATGATACATTTACGCTCAGCTAGGTACTCGAGCGGATCGTAGGCCATTACGACTTATCTAAAACGCTGGTCAAAAGCAGACCCGCATAGTCAAAGCTTCTCTCGGAAAATATTCACTAATTAACCGATTGAAGAAATCATGTAGCAGTTCCAGACTGGAGCGATTACTGGTCGACGGAGTATTTGAATGGCAGGCACTGTGTGCGACGAAAAGTTTGATGAGTGCGCCATAGGCGAAGTGATTTTTGCCCCCCCTGTACATAATATGTATATATGTGTTTTTATTTGTTTATCTATTTATATTTGTATATATATATTTATGTAAAATTAATCTATATACCAACCATGGAACCATGTCTATGTCCTTACTGTTTTACTTGTTTTTTTTTAGCTTTTATAACTTTCAATATGAGGAGCTAGGCTATATCCAGCCGTACGAAAACCATCTGGTACAGAGCTGTGTAGCCTTTTATCATTCACATATAGATGGCCGATGTCAGACTTTGCGATTGGAGCGATTTTGCACCAATTGCAGGAGCGCGCTGCGAGCGACGGGAGATTTACCCGAGCGGCGCCGTGTTATCGGTGGTCGGCGGTGTAAATCTCCCGTCGCTCCTGCAATTGGTGCAAAATCGCTCCAATCGCAAAGTCTGACATCGGCCGATGATAGCTCGGGACACATTTCACACGGGGAGGCCCGTTTTACTTATTTTCGTCCTTATTTTTATGTTACAACAGTTTCCATATCCGTTATCGGGTACGAGAAGTTTCACAAGAATGCTGGGTTGTGAACAAAACTTTCGCCCCAGGCGGGGACTAGAACCCGCACCTCTCGCTTTTGTTCACAACCCAGCATTCTTGTGAAACATTCGCAAGGCGAACTGCGGCCAAAAACAGCATTACAAACAAAAACAGGATACGAGAAGTGTTTTCATTACCATTGAAGAATCTATTGGTGAGGCAGAAACTACTGCTGCAATCTTGTAAATAAAAGATGGGCTGACGCGCTTACAATGGCGTTTCATCAAAGAATTCAAGTCAGAATAAGATATGCTTTGGGAATGTTTGTGTGGAAAACTCAGGACTTGACGCGACAAGATTATGACTTTCAGGATCTCCATCGTGAATTCCAGAGATGTCGCGACAACAACGATCTTCGGCTTGATCTCAGTTCCAATGATGTAAGTGATTGGGAAGCTTGATGAGGGTTATGATGTCTTATCTTTGGAAATTGCGCTATGAATAACTTCTATGCTTCTATGAATTTCAGATCACGTCTATACCGTCCTCGATCAGGGATCTTACACAGTTGACTGAACTGTTTTTGTATAAAAACAAGCTTACCCAATTACCGTCGGAATTGGGAAATTTGGTGTGTGGCAAACGTTCTCTATTATATACGCAGTTTGGAGTGGACTTATCCAATTCTCATTTTTCAATTTTCAGGTTTCTCTGCGAAAATTAGGCTTGAGTGAAAATGCTCTTTGCTCATTACCCGACTCACTTGCTTCTCTTACGCAGTTAGAAACCTTAGATCTACGACATAACAAGCTTACAGAGGTAACCAACGCAAAATAATTCTTTCGGCTCAAACTCTAATCGCATTATTAAGATACCTTCCGTAATTTATCGGATCACCTCTCTCGAAACACTTTGGTTGCGGTACAATAGGATCACGTCGATTGGAGAGGAAATTGGAAATCTGTCCAAGTATGTCTGCTGAGCTTTCCATATACAGTGGCCATCGTGGCCTAAATTACTCTTTCCAGGCTTAAGATGATTGATTTGCGTGAAAATAAAATCCACAGCTTACCGGCATCGATTGGTAAAATCCACTCCTTGGTTGTCTGCCTTCTAAGCTACAATCACTTATCAAAAATCCCGGATGGTAAGATTTTGACGTGGCATTGATTCTCTTTGAACATTCATGTGTTCTATTTTGCTATAGGCTGGTGTCAGAGTCCGCGATCCGTCGCAGGTTTCGCTGATTTTCGCGATTTGCGCGACGGGTCACGGAAATCACAAGTGCCCCATCAATACTGCAAGGTGTTCTCCAATCCCGCCGCCACTTCTGCTTGATAGTGATGGCTGAATGACGACTGCCCTCATGATTCCACTTGTTTGATATTATAGAATCTAGAATTATAGGATAGAATAGGAACGAATCATGAGCATTTCAATGAACTGATAGACATTGAACATGAAACAAGTAGAATCACGAACAGTCGTCTTTCACTATGCTTCTTTCTGTAGCAGAGTCTGAATCCCTGTTGATTTTAACACTACGCATTTCGAGGTATTTCGGGTGCCCTTTTCACTCCTGTGGATTCCGTGTTGCAGCCTATCCACGGGTTTGCGCCTGCAAGATCGCTGTAGAAGACAGTCATTGCATCTGTGGGCGAAATCTTGCATGCGCGTCTATCGGCGGGACTCTGGACCAGCTTTCGATTTCTATGGGAAAATACGTATCTGAGGTGCGGTAGATGCGTGATTTGTAGCGATGGGTTTGTGAGTTACTAGATGTGCAGATCATGCTCTAGTTGCCCTTAAATTTGCCTTCTTAGAATACATTTCTTTCCTCTGTAATTTAAAGTGCATGGAAACTATTGTAGGGGGTACGCGGCGTCTTTTAAACTCGTTAAAGTACCCCCTGCTTCCGGAAACCAGATGCGCGTCGAGTGGAGACCATACATCGTGTCATAAAACTTGAGGGGAGCTTCTAAAACTTTCACTAACTATATGTTTTTTTCAGAAACGTAGTGACTTGGCATGTTTTGATTCGAACTTGATCTGCAAATAAGTGATTGCAGAATTGCTCTGAAACCATGGAAGCTGCGAATTCTGCGTTTATATATTGGACTCACGGATTATATCAGTGTGTGTTTTCTTCACCTTTATGTTGTTACGTTGTTGAAGTTGTTCATTACTTTGGCGGCGCTCGCGGTCATCCTAAAGAGAGTGTGTTGCATGGTAACGGCTCAGTGGGCATGATCGGCTCAATCTGTGCACGGTGCATATCGGTCGAGCGGTATGGGCTTTACACCGTGTACTACTATGCCGCTAATTTCTTTGGAAATATATGGAACTGGGTTTGGTTTCGAGTTAGAGGACAGAGTTAATAGAGCAATACAGGGGTTATAAGCGAGAAGGATTTTTTATGTGTTTATGTGTTATTCAAGAAGTTTCTCTTTCAGGTATAATAAGCTTCGAACGTTGCCTGCTTCTCTCGAAAATTGTAACCAACTGGAGGAGTTTATCATTGAAGGAAATCATTTGCAACAATACCTGTTAATTTCTTTTGCTTTGAGTGTTATTTGTCTTTACAGCCCATTTTTTCATCATGTGCTTACATTTGAATGACTTTTTTGTGTTAGAATATATAAATTGCAGTTCACATGGATGATTGAGGGCGTGATCACTCTTGCCTCGTTTTTGTTTTTTTTTTTGTGCATTTTCCGCGGATGGAATTTTGCCATCAGAGTATTTTCGAAGAATCCGACTTGCGTCATTTAGACAGAGGTTATATGCGCTGACTCGAGTGGAACTTTTCTGGTTTTACCTGGTTTTTGTTCTCTTATCTGCATGCTGTACAATGTCGAGTCAGAGGACTAACGAACGCAGGACGCTGTGCATGAGCGGAGAAGAGCAGATCAGTGATCATCCCTTCTCCCATATACTTCTGGTAGTGTTGGTAATACGGCCACTTTTCAATATGGGAAGGAATGGATTCGTCGGTATCGGTTAGCATGATCACGCTAGTGGTCGATGCCGATTCAAACATCTCGCAGATGTTTTGCACGTTACCTTTATTGGCTTGGATCAAGTATCTGCGAAGATCTGAAATGTTCTTTGACCTAGGCTTGTACGAACATGAATTTTCTGAAGGTGGGTTTTTTGGGCGTAGTCGCTGCTTCATATCTGGCAACAGTCGTTGGGAGGAGATGGAGTAATGGAGCTTAAATCAGCTTTTCTCAATTAAATGTAAGAGAGGCCTAGCATTTGTTTAATAGGCCGTAGAGATTTGGTAGTCTTTGGTTATATTGTTATTGACGTTCCTTCTTTGGATTTGTTTTTACGCCGAATTGTTCGTGTGTCGATCATAGGGGATTGTGGTCGATTGAGCATCGCTCAGTGTGATCTGCACTCATGTTTCTCAATATGTCTCAGTATGAATACGGGGAGATTCGACTTCGTGGCTGGTGCAAGCGACGCTGATTGCGACAAGGTGGTACTGCACTTTTGATACTCTCTAAGCTAGCGCTGAGGCCTCGCTATCTCGGTCGCATGTTCTCGATGTCATCTTTTGGAGTCGACGTTGTCAGAATCACCGCGTTAGCTCTTCGCAGCTGTTTTGGCCCTGTTTCTGCAGACACTCTGAGTGATATGTCAGTGAATGCTGAAGATTGTTCTAGGCATAAGATAATCACCTTGGAATTATCCGATTGTGGATCCATGTGCTTAGGATCTAAAGACCTCGTGAAAGCGATCATAGTTTTAGTGCAGAAGTGGGGTTGTTTCAAAGGAACTGGGCAGAACATTGGCTTGATATTTTCGGTTAATGGGTGTAGAAGCCAGTGAACTCGTTTTAACGGATTGTTCTTTTTTTGGGTTGGTTTGCGACTTTTTTTTTTTATGTGTGAATTTTATCGAGTAGAAATAGAACTGATGTTCATGTCAGAAATATTTCTTATTATGCTAGGCCTATAAGGAATCTATATTTTGAGCGACGCCATGGTAACAGGTTGTCGCTCGAGTGATTTCGCGCGAACGGTGAACCTCTCGCGCAATGAACTTTCAGGCTTTCCTCAAGGTGGACCGCAACAGTTTGCTTCGGCTGTTGTAAGTTTTCTGTCTCGAATAACTTCCAAATCGCATCAATGCTTTTTTTAAAGTTCCTTTCTGGTCTTTGTATGTTTTTTATGTTTTCCTGTGTTTTTGGACCGTGACGTATTTGGGCTGATCATATTCTGCCGAATTTCCGCACTTTCATTTCATTAGTTTTTTTCTTTCTGGGATAACTGTATCACAATATACCAGTCGCGTATCAAGCGCACTCGTGGTTGTCGTTCTACTTCAGCAGAGTTCGCGAAGATGATTGCCTCTTCAAACGTGTTGTGCTATGGGCTTATGAAGTGTGGTGTTCGAGAAAGGTCGTTCTTGATTGAGTGCTAGTGCTTGTATTTTTAGTGACCATTTTGTTCCCTCGCAGATCTCTCGGAGGTAGCGCTGCAGGGCATACGCGAGAAGGGGATAGTGCGATGAAGTAATGTTAGGGCTATACGATAGAAGTGGTATCGCGATCGAGCCAGTTTCCTTCAGAAGGTGGCGAGTTATCTTCGCAATGTAAGGTCGGGCGTTCATCCGGAGGAAGGAGATTTTGAGACGTTTCGAATGGTTCTCTCGCACTGCTGCGGCCAACCTCAGTTATTCCATGGTTATCTTCGCAGTGACTCAACGTTTATAGGCGACTCGCTTAAAACATCCGAACGTGTAAAAAAAATATTTAGATCAAGCATTGCAGGTAAAGAATTTTGATCTTGCTACCGATTACCGTAGCTGGTGTTGTTATGGGCAGGTTTCTACAGGAGTACTCGGTTATGGGTAGAAATCTCTACCAAATGCAATTCAGGGGCACCGCTTAACCTTAGCACAACTGCCCGATGAGCGAGATATGCGGTTCGTAATCCCGCCTGGAGCAAAGTGCTTTGCCCATTACATCCCGTGTTCTTATGGAACTGCAAGTAAACGCTAAGGATTCCTTCCTTGAGTCGAAGATGATACGCGCCGAAAATGACCTTTTCGTTACAGAAGTGTTTCCATCAAGGTATGAAAAAGCTAGTACAAAGAACCGACATTATTACCTTAACATCTTGTGCGAGCTGACAAGTGGCAAGATAGGCGCCTTAGGAAAGTATCAGGCTAACACTTCCTCTTGCACTATGGTGTTGAAAACGTGTTTAAAAAGCTGAAGCCAACGATTGGATCCAGGACAAGCCCATTTTGCGATCAGCTTGCGGTGGATGCATTTTGGCTGCTTATTGACACTATCTTTTTGCTTTGTTTCATTCATTGGGTGGCTATCATTAAGCTAGTATTTTTTATTGTATAGGGATGGCATAACCTGACACGATTTCATCGCAGTCTTGTGTCTTCAAGGTCATTGATCACAATGTGGGCTTTGAACGAATAGCGTGGGCTTGATCCCTTTTCAGCGCGCCGCCATCTTCGCAGTGGTTGTCTATATAAGATGAAGCACTTCTCAAAGTGGAATACCCGACCAATCCTACAAATTGGGGTAATATTCTCTGACGAAAGAGGTCAGGTTTTGGGTGAGATGGTGGGTTCAGGCTGCGAGATAGCCATAAGGCGTGCCGCGTGTTGTTGTCGTAGTGGACTCATGACTCATCTCCACTGGTGACCGACTAGGGAAAGTCCAGGCTATGCCTGCGCAGAATGAAATTTCTGCAGATGGTCAGGTCTGCTTCTCGGTCATGGTCAGAGATGCATGCCGTTCCCATCGAAACTTCATTCTGCTACACCCGTTTCATTCAGACAGCTTGCGGTGGTGCATCGGCTGTGCCCAGGTATCTGCTACAAATCTCAGGTGGTAGCGTCCGGTGAACTTCCGATTCACAGCGCAATGGATCCTCATCGAAAGTGACTGGGGGCCAGGATGAGGTCAAACTTTGCAGCTTGTATCGCCTTTGCCGATGCTTTCAAGCCAATAGCCCAGTGCCCGATCAGTAGCAAAGACTGAGGCAAACAGCGCTGGTCTTGCCTACTGCACTCCTTGCAAGGTTCTTCTTTGAATGATCGTTAAGCATAATCGCCTGCTTTGGTCGTTGATCATTTCGATCCTACTTACTTATTCCACTGCCCAATGACCTTCTGGAACATCCTAGTTTAAGGTACTAATCTCCTTCAACATACTAACTTATTTCGTAATTACACTAATTTGACATGAAGAAAATTTGATTCTGAAAAAAAATCGGCCAGGAATTATGGATCAACCCAATATATCTCACTTTCTGCAAGTTTCATTGTTATGTTTATTGACCGTATGCTATCGAACAGGAACTTTTCCATTCCTATTTATTACCTTCGAAATATTTTATTCATTTTTCACACTCTAGTTGTTCTTACTTACACACATACCTTTCAAAAACACTTTATGGAGCGGTCCTGGTCGGGAGCGCAGACTACAACCCTTGTGAAGTTCCGAACTACACCTTCATGTCCTTTTACCTTTTTTGTGATCAATAATGGAAGGTGTATCTATAGCTTAACGAGTAAAAATATTTGTTCAGCCTTTTGATAACGCACACATAGCTTCGGAACATGTGAAAATATTATAGAAATCGGAAAAATTGTTTATCCTTTATGTGCTTGCGCACGCCACATTGTAGCGCAACCGGTCCTGTATCTGAAAAGGCAATTTCTTTTCCGTACATGCCGTAATGTTGTGGTATGAGGCCCCTTGTCAAAATATATCGTCCACATTCGCATATTGTATTCCTATTCCATCTTCTCAAATATCTTTAAGCATGTCCATGATCTACTCGGTTTTGTTTGCCTGATACCACCCTGTGTCGATGAACCCTATCTTTTAGACAATCAATATGGAACACAATCGAATCAGTAAAATTCCAATCGGTATCTTCTCACGCGCTGTTGGACTCACTAAACTGAACTTGAAAGAAAACGAACTGCTTTCGCTACCCTTAGGTAAATTTTTCATCGTCAAAAGTAAACTTGTTTGGTTAACCTCTGGTTCCTCGATTCAGATATGGGAACTTGGACATCTATCACGGAACTGAATCTCTCAACGAATCAGTTGAAGGTGTTACCCGAGGACATAGAAAAATTGGTGATTTCACAATCGCACTTCGATTATTTAACTCTTTATTTCGTTGATTTGCTGAGAGACGTTAATTTCAAGGTTAATTTGGAAATCCTCGTTCTGTCAAACAACCAGCTTAAAAAGATGCCTGCACAAATAGGAAACCTCAAGAAATTGCGTGAGCTCGATTTAGAAGAAAACGATTTGGAAACGATCCCGAGTGAGATCGGTATGATTCTAAAAGTACTTAGCATAGATTTCTCCAAAGTTACCGGAGTCGCATTGCAGGATTTCTTCTCCAATTGACCAAATTATGGGTGCAGTCTAACAAGCTTATCAGCTTACCTCGCACCATAGGCAATCTGGCCAGTCTTCAAGATTTACGAGTTGGTGAAAACTCATTGTCTTGCATACCCGAAGAAATCGGTAGGTCTCCCTGCTTCTCTGGCCAGATTCTGTATCAGTGTTTAATTCACCTCGCCTGGCATGCTTTTTTCATTTTCTTTTCTTTTAGGGCACTTGGACTGTTTGAAGTCTTTGTATCTAAATGATAACCCTTCATTGCACAATTTGCCGTTTGAACTCGCTCTGTGTTCCTCGTTGGAGATAATGTCCATCGAAAACTGTCCACTCAGTCAGATCCCTCCAGAAATTACTGCAGGAGGACCTAGCCTTGTTATTCAGGTATGACTATTTGAACTGAACTTATTTCTTCATAAAAATCTGTTGCAACCCTAATATCAGGATGCAGACGTCACAAAGGTTTTTGGGGATTTGGGAGTCTAAAATGTTTCTTCTCTTTCACTGATAGGGCCGTTGTGCCTCCGAGATGATTTTGTTGTTTTATGTAGTGGAACAAAAACACTGAGATCAAATACATTGAAAGAGAAATTGGTCAAAGAAACAGTTTTACTTTCGTTTCCCTTGTGTTCTGAAACGAAAATCAAAGGCACGATCATCTCGTTCTCGCAAGTTGAGTAGAGGTTTACTCGAGGAAGTTCTCTTTCTTGCTGTGGTTCATCAATGCGCCCATGGCAAGAGCATGAGCATTAATCTTCATGCACATCACGCATCTAGTTCTTGTTGTATTTACCTCATTCTTCGTTGCCTTTACTCTGTGGTCAGCTATGGTAGCACTTTTATTTTTCAAACTTTACTCACCATTTCATGATAACCAGCTCGGGGAAGCATTTCGATTTTATAGTATAATCATATACTCTAAGGTTTCAAGTTATTTTAAGGCGTCAAAGGGTATTATGTGGATAGGGGTACAGAGTGGGTTGGAATATGGACCAATCATTCATTATCTATCAGTTGCTAGTTAAATACGGCAGTTACCGTTGAAGGACGAGCGCCACTTCGCAATTTTATTATAAGGACAACTTCAACTTGCTATCCTTTTGAGTAAGGGTAGGAGCTAAAGGGTCGTTACCGGCGTTGTCTATACCTTTGAGAAGCGTCACGCATTTCATATTGTTCTTCATTTCGTAATCGTAGTGGTAATTTGAATGCGATTTTTCCTATACAAGAGTTACGGGTACCAGTCGATCAATTCGGTGTTTTCTCAAACGAGTCTGGTAACAAATGACCGATCATGGTGGGCTGGTAGGCTCGGTAAGCCTGGGCAAGATTCAATCCGAGATTTGACCCAGGGATCGGAGGTGGGAATTGGCGCTACTGTAACTCTGTCCTTGCGTCCTATGTGAAGGATTAATAATTCTCCATTTCCAACCAGATATTGAGTGAACATAATTAGTGGTAGTATGGCTCTCTTTCCTTTGGGGTGAGCATTAGGACTATTTTTCAAAAATAGGAAAAGGAGAGTATGAGCAAATGCATCCACCTCTTACATTGCAGTGAGTAATAATAGCCTCCTTTTTGACAAACAGTCGAAGTAGAATGACGAGATCAATGTCGGATTGTGTATTTAGTCAATATCGAGTGTGCATTACCTTGTCCTATCGACCTAAAGAAAGTTCATCTTTTGCCCGTTATGAAAGCATCGATGAAGGATTTCAGAACGAGCGCGTTATTAGACAGATTTCGCTTTTTTCTTCTACTGCTACACAAAATATTCGGCAATTATTAATGTCTAGTCCGCCAGCCCAAAATGCTTTTGACGGCCGTAAACGTATATTGTGTCATTAAGTTGATCTTATTTCTAATGAGCCAAATTCTACACGGCTGATACCTCAGGAATGTGGTGCTATGAGTGCATCAAATTATTTTCTCTGTAACCCACATGGTAAAATTGGCATTCCACTAACTGTACTGAGAAAGACTGCTGCATCCTCTATTCAAGTGAAGAGTTTTGCAATGGCTCTCAAAAATTTTCATTATTATGTAAAGGAGGAGCAGTGGCTGTGTGGGTAATATCTGTGATACGTTGCAAAATGTTCATTTGTCTATCCTCTCAGAATCCGCCCACAAGTCGCGACATGGGCTGGTTTGCCGAATGATTAAGGAAGGAAAGAATAGGCGTTCGTGTAACAGTGCCGGGTATGAAAATCGTGTCGAGGGATTCATCGCAGCAGTACGACCGTTCTACCCAAAGTGGGGTCTTGATACGCCCCCTAACTTCCATTGAATTTGAATAAACGAGTTCAATTGTATGTTCTTTGAAGTATGCAGTTGCAGAGCCGTTTACCCCTGAGTCAGATTACCTGTAGCCCGCCGACGAATCTTGGTAATCTACACTTTTGAAGAGCTGCTCTTCTTCCATTTCATAACCTCTTGAAGAGGTTGTGGTAGAAGTAAATAGAGCTAGATGTTCTGTTATCAAGCAGTATTGAGATTGCTCTAAAGCCTTCTATTTACTTTGAGAGATAGTGTCTCTCAAATTGCGTCGAGTTAGCGTCGAGGACTCTGAGGCCATGCGTTTTTACTATTTAAAAAGCAATATCTCTAATATCCTGAGGTCATGAAATAGTTCTGAGAAGCGGAGGATTAGCGCTTTCGAATAGCTTGCCAGTTGAGAAGTATTTGCGTCAAGGATCTATCGAGGACGATTTTCAGCCAATCAAACAGTCGTTCTCCTCCCTCACTATTGCAAGCTAATTTGTTGGCAACCCTCAAAAGTTGAGGTTCGTTGCAGTTCAGGTCAAGTCACCTAAAATTGAGACACCACTCATTTGCTCGAACCAAGCTCACGACTATCCATAAGCCTAGGCCCAATCATCGGCTTAAGTGTATAAGACAATGTGTGAGCTTAAAGGAAGCGATTACGATAGATCTCAAAGGGGTTTAGAGGGGACGTGGGGGTCTCAATAGTACGCCAATGGCGAAAAAAGCAAAGAAATCCGTCGAAAATAAGCAAAATGGTACCCCTTTGATTGCCCTTTCATTTTCGACCATGGATGAGCGACGGTAAAGAACGACGTTGTTCGGACGTGTTAACCCCGATAGCCGCCATCATGCCAACAAGCATAGTGTTTTGATTGATAAGGCAATACGTGGGCAAGTTGGAAGATACAGCCGCTAGAAGGGAAATGATCATCCAAAATGAAAAGCCAACAGCAAACAGTCCATCCAGATCATCAACAAAACTAGTGGGCGTTACGTCACTGGGGGCGGAGCGTCACGCGGGTCCTGCTCAGCAACCACAGCACCTTTCGCCGTGGGAGGACCACACATCGCTTCCTTGGCAGCCAAGTAATTGCTCCGTGTGGCGCAGGTTCTCCCCCGATGCGAAAATTCCTTATCGTAATCGCTTCCTTTAAGCCTAAGTCCAAACTTAACCAGGCCTCAATGTTCGTGCAGCTCTGGTGACCTGACCTCAGGAGCAGAACTGAACGTGTTTCCAAAATTTCTATAAAATACTTTTTTCAACGATAAGCGATACGAAAATAGGCACCTTCATAGCTTGATTTCGTCTCGGTATATGGCACGCATCAAACCTTCAGTCACAATTTCAGAATCAGTTAAAAGTTGAAATGTGATGACGACCTGTTGACGGAAACTGTTTGTAATTAACACATTTCGTAACTTCTATAGCCTAATGAGCAGCTCGATTTGCACAGGGCATTTCCATATCTTCCATCATTTATTGTATTGCTCTCAAACGTTCTTCTTATATAGCTAGAGAAATGGAGCGACAAAAAGCTGCAAATAATATATTTATCATGTTTCCACACATGTCCTCGTTTTCTGCTGCTTTACATCCTCCCCCTTTCTGCACCATGATGTAACCGATGTGCTCATTACTACCCCCACTATTACGACCCCCTAGTACCCATCGTGACGAATGCGACTTTCTCTCGAGGACTTCTTCAACCTGGTAATCGCTGACTGCAAACCTCGGGAAGGTTTTGAAATTTCGATGTCTCTCCTACATTGTTTTTGAAAAATAGCAAGATCAAGGGGGAGCTGTCAATTTGACATTTCTGGGATGATAGCAAAATAATATTTGATGATTATCCCGTTTTTCTTGTTCGCCTAAAATCAGTAGTAGGGAACGCACAGAAAATGTAAATCAACAGCCTGGGAACTTAGGTGGCTGTCGCCATCAACTTAGTATATATTTCTTCATTATGAGATTATGCAGTGATCCATGCCTGCGCTATATCCGTACACCTCCACTGCTAACTTTATTTTTATTTTTAATCTGTGTGAAAAACTGATGATGGAGGAGGCACTTCATGTGGAGAAAGAAAGTGTAGAAAAAGATAGTAGGAATAATGTGCTAAACGTTTAGGAAAAAAAAACTAACTGTTTCCTATTTTCAAGGGAGGAACAGATGTCCAGTAGTGTATAGATCTGTTTTTGCCGTTGTCGGGTCGCAAGGTCAGCAACTATTTGTCCTAAAGTGCAGTTTTTGATTTCCAATATCATCGCGGAGTGAAAATTAATTACCGGAAGGGGCTTCAAGAGAAACCCATGTTTTCTTTTGCGATTACAATTTAGAGAGAAGGACGTTTCTCTTCTCATATCAGCCATCACTTCTGTCATCCGACAAGGGAGCGTTCGAATGTTAGAACTCATTTATCTCCCTAAATTTTTTTGGTCACGGCGGGGCGGGCTTTTAATTTTTTGGGCGGGGAAACTGGTTCGACGGATTCGATATGAGGGAAATAAATTTTGCCACTTATGAGCTGTTGGGGATTTTGCACAGTATTTTTAAAATGGGTGGATTTTTGTTGTGACAAGTGGTGCTGCTTTCCAAGCGTGCGGTTTAAGAGTCAAATCTTGGTTCAATTTCCGCTCACATGCCAAGCTTCTCATCTCCTCCTCGGGTAATTGGTACTAGACTTGCCTTTTAGCGTGAATGTCCCGTACTTGGTTGGCCCTTTCTATACATTGTACAGGCCAATCACCTCCAAGCACTACCGCGATTTAAAGTGAAAATAGGATGCATGGCACATTTCAAAAGGTGATTCAAAAGGTGAACCCTGAATGCTTTAATGCTCTAATTTTGAAAATCTGAAGATTACGTCGTTCACGAAGGCAGTAGTGCGAGGATGTCCAGAATAAATTAATTAAATTACATAAATTCAAATTAATTTTGAATTTTCGTAGTGTAAAAAGTATAACTCGTTAGTTATGTATTTCAAAATCTGTGCTCAGGTCACTTTTTGAGGGTTCCAACACCTTCTGCCTTCATTTTTGACCTTGTACGGCGTAGAACCTTAGTTTTCGGTGCCGAAGCATAGCTAGCCATTGGGTCTGCGAAATTTCACACCTTTTTGCACATCTGAATTACGCCGGTTTTTCGAGTCGTGTGTAGGTTGGGTTTAGATTTTTTTAGTTCTTTTTTTTCTATATTTGAGTCGTATTATGGCGACCACTGA